TGGACTTCAAGTTGACCTTAAAGCTCGGTGTAGTAAAACAAAAACCATTCAGCCTGGCCGCTGTTGGAATGATGAATAGGTGAAGTGATTCCTCTGATTAGAAATTGGGGATAAGGAATTTTTACAATTTTGCTGCAGTGCTTCCTTTCATGGTTTTATGTTAGCTATAAATGAATCTGACTCGTTTGGCTAAATGATTTTTTTTTTTCTTCAGGCTAGAATTTGTCTCGAACCTAATCGAATTGAAATTTTGTTGACAAAACACTTTGGTAGGTCTGCTGGCATACGTACTGAGAAGTTATGGGTGTTGGTATTATTTAGGAAAAAGAAATAGCAAGTTAAAGACAAGTTTGGGTGAATTGGTAGATCAGGTTTAGAATGGGGGACGGAAATCAGTCTTGTAGTTGAAGTTGTTGTATGTAAACTTTATGCTACAGAATTAAGAAGCAGTAGTTGAGGTCATATCCTTGTACTCTATTCTCGGATAGCAAGCTACATAAGATGTCATAATTTCCCACTTGTTAAAACAGCAGGTGGGGTATATGATAATGATAGCATGTAATTGTTGTTGGGTTGAAATTAAGTTGTGAGGAGAAAGACAAAATGGGAAAGTAACCAATTCTCATCCTATAATTATATGATTATCCACCTCTTTTTTTTTTTTTTTTTTTTTTTATATCGTCAAACAAAACATATGATATAAGCTACTAGGCCTGTGAGCACTGTATTATCAAATATTTTTATTTGAACTATAATTATTGTTTTCGAGCTCTGTCATACTGATTTGGTTGTCTAAAGAAGATCCTGACTTGGTCCTTGTTTGTTTCTTTATTTTTTGAATGTGTAGTCTTTTGTTTGTTGAATTTGAAGTACGCTATTTAAACCTTACGATTCGATTCGATTAAATCGTAGATCTTACTGTTGGTAGTTCAACTTGAATATGAACATTGGTCGGAGAATTTTGTCATCGGTTCGGTTCGATTGTTTTTAGGTAAAAACAAAAATTGGGTGGCAATAATGTTTGGGTCCTTTTTTTTTTTTTTTTTTTTTTAACAGATTGTGAAGGGAAACACGTCTGGAAGAGGATGCCCAACTGACAAAACTGAACCAATTGCCATTAGGTGATGCATGTATTCTAAACATAAATATATGTATCTTAATCTATCATTAAATTAAGTATTAAAAGAATTGATGATTGACATTATGGAAATCGAATCATACCCAGTAGATAGTACGAAATAGGAAAATAAAATATATGTCCGTCGGAAGTTTTAATTGTATGGAAACCAATAATACAGAATGGAATGGAATGGAATAAATTAAGTGATTAGATTTCATGAAACAAAAAATAAAATAACATATTTTGAAAGAGTCTTGGATTAGAAGAATGGACCAACTTGGATTTGTTGTGATTCACGTTCGCTACGGTTCATGAATCTTCCCCCCCTCCCCCCTCTCCCGCTTTACAACACTAATTATTCAATATTCACCAACCACTTAAAAGTGAATTTATTGACTTAATTGAAAATTATATCTATATATATATATTATATTATATCATATATATATATATATATAGTACTGATGTTAGATTGAGCACTACTAATTGCATTGATGCTGAATATATGCATGTTTAATATATATATATATATATATGTATGTGTATATCTAAACTTGGATTTTGGTTCTTTAAGCACTTTTTTTATTCAATAAATGTCCAGGTCCGGGTGACTTCAACTGTTTGGTTATTATTGTACTAATGTATATATAAATAAAAAAAAAAATTTGGTCGTTTTATTATTAATTTATATCTTTGATATAATCAGTAATACTCAATTATTTTTATATTTAAAAAATTCAATATATAATTATTATTTGCATCATCACGTTAATTTTATTTGTGTATTTTAAAACCTGACTTAGATAATCGTGCCTGAAATTTTGGAGAAATGAAATTTTTTTAACTAAAATTAGGGGAGAGAATTCTGTCTATTAAACTTTTTAGATTGTACTTCTCCAAGTTTGGTCAAGATTTTTAATTTTTTTTTTTGCCAAAATTTTTATGTGGTTTTTTAGTATTCAGAAAAAAAAAAGAGACATTAATTTTGACATTTGGTAGTCATTTAAACTAATTATGTAGTAATTCAATTAAATTATAATATTTTAAATTAATGGAAGTCATTAAAAATTAGGTTCAAATTTTCAAAATCTTACGTAACCTGTAAAAAATTAAGAAAATTTTATGTCATTTATTCTATTTTTTAATGTAATTTTCTTGTGTTAGACAAATTATTATTTTTATCTCTTAGACCGTTAATCACGTCGCGATTTCGTTTCGAATTTTTTAATTATAAGTTTAAGTCTTTAAAATTATAAAATTATTTTAATTTATAATTTTTAACTCAATTATGAAAACTTTGTGAAAATTATAATGTGTTAAAATATTTTTTTTTTATTTTAACATAAAACGAGTAAATTTATTTAGTTAAATTAATTATAATATGTTAAATTTTAGTTTAATTTTTTTTTTTTTGGAATAATATATGCAAAAAACTGATATGGGCACACTAATTTTTGGAATAATTTATTATTTTTAGAAAGAAAAAAAAAAAGAAAGTGGAAATAGTAAACTTTGGGAGTGGAAACAGTAGTTTCAGAAGAACAGTGAATCGTACATTTATTGATGTATGCATATGTAAGCAGCTGTTTTCAGTTAAGACTTCATCTTGACTCTTCCCAGAAAACAAACCCACAATTTCACTTTTGACAAAATTATAATTATATCTCTACTTTTAATTTGTAATTTTTCTTTTTTTTTTTTTTTGTATATGCAATATAATTACTTGTTTTATATAATATTATTTATGTTTTAGAATTTTAAAATTAAGTAACTTAAATTTAAAAAAAAAAATCAGAACTTTACAAAATATAATGCAAGAAATATATTGCAAAAAAAAAAAAAAAAACTCAACCTATATTATTATGTAGCCATTATATACCCCAATAATTGATAATCCCATGAGAATAATAATAGTAAATACAAATATATGTACATATATATAATATTATGTATTATATATTTTTATAACACAAATTAAAGGAGGAGATAAATAAAGCAAGAAAATCTGGTACAATGCACCGACATCCCGGGCATAGTCCAAGATTTAGAAACAGACCCAAACCAGGAGACAAGAGAAGGAAGATGATGCATGCAGCACCCACCAACATGCTTATTTTCCTATTTACCCGCTGTTAAAACACCATAATTACCCACTACAAATTTCTACCTAATTCAAACCCTAAACAAACAAACAAAACACCCACTACCATTGCATGCTTCAACTTTCAATACCTACCAGCTTCATCACTTCCCTTCGCCAGCCATGGAGGTATTGATTTAGTAAACCAGACGGTGGGGATGTTGCTGGTGATGAGTCACCACATCATCAAGCATCCACAGGTCGCCCGAGTTTGACGACTCCACCGACTCAGACGACTCTCCACTTCCACTCACCTGCACCTGATCATCCCTATCCAATCCCAGCAGCGTTTCCAAGGTCCATATCTGTTCCTTCAGCTCATTCTCGCTCGGGTTATAACCCTCGTTTCCATAACCGAAGTTCACCTGATGGTATCGAGGATAAACTGGTTGTAGTGCCACCGCTGGCGCCGGCGGTGGTGGTGGTCCCGTTGTCTGTAAACTCGCCCGAGCCAACTCAGGAGATATGCATCTCTTCTTAGCTGGCGGCGGCTGAGTTACAGTCCTGGCCGGAGGTGGTGGTGTTGGTGGTCGGGCGAAGTTAAGTTTGGCCTTGTCGCCGCGGATGCGTTTGGCGGCTTCATCGTAGGCTCGTGCGGCTTCCTCGGCGGTGTTGTAGGTGCCGAGCCAGACACGAACTCCCTTGTGAGGGTCCCTGATCTCGGCTGCCCATTTTCCCCATGGCCGCTGTCTGATCCCTCTGTACATGTTCTTCCGAGGTCGCCGAGTTTTCCCCGGCTTATCCGCGGCTTGGCTCAGCTTCTCGGCTTTCTCGCTCGTCACTACTGCGAATCCCCAAGTGAAGTCAGAAGTTCTTTTCTCTTTTTAAGAAAGCATCAGAAACTTTTTCTCGGAAAAAGTAATCACACCCAAAACTAAATTAACAAAAACTTCTCTGTGAAAATCTCAAAATTCAAATAGAAACTCGAACTCAATCTGATCATCGTATGAATCATGCAAGAAAAATATCATTAAATCAATCACATTAATCGGATTTAAACCCCATCAGTAAGAACAAAAACAGCGAGAGGAATAATTTGAAAAAAAATCCAGACCGAGATGTTAAATCCATGCAAGGACATCAAAAAAAGCGAAAATCAGTCAGCAGCCAGATGCAGAAAAGGCGGAAAAAAAAGAATAAGACGAAGAAGAAGACGAAATGGAAGAAGACGAAATGTTATATTACCATGGTTGGGGTGGTTAGTCGGCGTTTGGGAGGCCTTGGAATCATCGACCGGCTTAGGGGCTTCCTTCCTCATAGAATCCAAGCCCCATAGATCAGTAAAGACGTCGAGCTCAGACCAAAGCTCCTCCGCCGTTAATTTCCGGCCACGAGTGGTCACCGGCACAAAATCAGAAATGATTGCACCTCCACACATCCTTGTTTTGCGTTTCTCCTTCAATTCTCAGCACAGAAAGAAAGAGGGGGAAGAGAGGGGGAGAGAGAGAGTCTATGTAATTATATGTGAAGAAAGAGGAGAGGATTTATAGTATGACGGTGGCCAACCAAAGGCGCCATAAACAGACAAATCAATCATCTATAATTTCACTCTGCGGTGATGGGTTTTATTTTGGTATGATATGATATTTCTAATCCGACGGTGGAGAGAAGATCGGGCCAAAAGGGGTTAGATCATACTGCAGAGGGATGTCAGCCGTGCGATCTTGGCGGTAGGGTCCACATAGTTTAAGATTAAGAATTAATTAATGGGAGAAAAAATATTTTATTTGTAAAAGAAAGGATACAGAGACAGGTGGGTGAAGGAAGATGACGTGGCGTCATGAGATTGGGGCAGAAAAGAAGACGGAGGAGTGTTTGTGTCTTGAGGAGAAGTAACGGACGTTACCGGATTTCGAGCAATTGAAAGGTAACGGCAGCATGTGAGTAAAAGGAAAGGCTGCATCTGCATTTCTTGCTTTCCTCCTCTATCCTATTGCATTAAGTTCCACAACTGCCCTAAAATTTACCTCTATTTACAATCCAACCCCTAATGTAATGTAATATTTATTAATTAAATTTTTCTTTATTAATATCATTTGCAAAAATATTATTTTGTTTAAGATAATTATTGAAAATTTTAAATATCTATTTTTTAAGAAAATTAAGATGATGTATTATAAATTATCATTTTAAAAATAATTATCTCGTCATAATGCATTTTTAATAACTTTTCAAAATACAATTCATGTACTTTGTGATGCTATAGGTTTGTACAATATTTTTCACGTGTTTTAAATTGTTTCTATATCTAATTAGTAAATTAAATAAGTATTTATTATCCATAAAATTTTGATATTAATATACATGTGAGTTAGGATTACAAGAGTATTTAGATGAGTTTTTTTGTTTTTTTAGTTATCAATTGCTCGAGAGTAACATGTCTGTAAGATATTTTTCTTATAGCGTAACTTAAATTCTTAAATATTACTAGTGATTTTATAGAGTCATTGCCTAATTTTTTTTTCGAATTTCTAGAAGTTCGTTGCCTTTTCTTTATTGATTGAAGTTAGTTATTAAAATGAACTCTATTCATTTAATATTAAAAGGAGATATTTTGTTAGCTTTTGAATATTACTTTCTTTCCTAAAGTCTAGTTTATTAGATGATGATTTTAGAATTTTTTCTAACATTTCTTTAGAAAATTCTCGTTCACTTAAAATCATAAGTGTTACGATCAAGTCTTGCATGTTTTTGTAATATTTGAGTTTGAAATTTGGTTCGGAATTAATTTTTGTATTTATAAAAATAATTAAAAATATTATTTTAATTTAATTTTATTAAATTATTTGAGAAAAATAAGTT